GAAGTGCTCCAGGAAGAGACTATCTTACCCTTTTGAAAACTCCACTAGGTTCGAGCCACTTACATATAAAGTAAATTAGCTGAACTCGTGTGGGAACCGAGGAAGGTGTAAATAAATAAAAATTAAACAACCCTAAGGCTTAGCAACCGATTTATATGGGATAGGAAACCAGGATGACAAACGGGGACGGGGGCAGGAGGGGGAGGGATAGACACGCCAAAAACACTGGATGAGCTGCAAGAAAAAATAAAATTCGCTCTGTGTAAAGGAAACAAAAAAAAAAAGCACTTGTTTGTCGTTCAGGTATGCAGGACCTATGTAGGTATAGATTAATCATCAGGCCTTTACAATATCTTTTTAAATCCTCATAGCAACTCTACAAGGTGTCACCACCACCCTCATTAAGATGAGGGCCCTAAGGATCAGCAACGCTATAAAATTTGCCCAACCGAGGTCCTAGGGCAAAAACTCGGCAGTGCCTGACCTAGGACCCAGGTCCACCTCAGCCTGCAGCCTCGTCCACCTCAGCCCACAGCCTCTCCCTGCAGCTGGGAGCAGCAACCTGGGCTGGAGAGCTGCCGTTTCCATCAAGCCCCCAATTACACCTGCATCTCTCAGCAGGCCTGAGGAGGAAAAGCAAGGCCGGAGAGGAAGGCTGGAGGGGCGTCAAGGCCTAACAACAACTGTGTATGAGGAAAACAATTTTGTTCAAGAGGGCTATTTATAGGGATGTTTTTCCTCAGCAGTCCCTGCCCCCTCGCCTTTCTTTTGTGTTAAAAGGCGCCTGGCAGATTGGTAAAGGGTTACAGGCAGTGTACAGGAAACTGTGGAACACAATGAACGGGGCGGGGACAGATCCCCACCCACCTAAGAAAATCACTTGCTCCAGTGTGGAGGGACCCTGGAGGGAGACAGATGGGGCTCGGAGCCCGGGCTCTGATCCTTCTATAGTTTTCTTTTTCCGAGTCAGAAAAAAAGGCAACGTGCCCAAAGGGTGCAGAATCCAGCGAAAGAGGAAGTAGAGGCTGAAGGAGGCAACAGAACCAAATCAGGATTATAGAAATAAGTCAAAGAGGCAAGACGTGTTTTATCCCGAGAACTCCCCCTATTCAATGGAGAATGGTTTTCCCACTCAAAGACATTCCAGTTCGAGAAGTCAAAGACACAGCAAAAGAAATGATCTCAAGCTGTAGCTACTGGGAGGGATCAGAAAACACCTCCGGACACTCGGGACAGACCTGCCAAGCTTCTGGGGCCACTCTTACATCAGAACAGCCCAGTCATTTTTCTCTCTGGGCCGCTGATCAAAGACCTCAAGCCAAATGGATGCAGACTCAGACTCAGAGCCTAAGGCCGGGCCCTGCGCGAGTTCAGATGGGGGCTGTGTCGGTTCTGATGTGGGCATAATAGCGATTCAGCAGGGACATTTGGCTCTCCCTCTGGCCTTGAAGTCTCTTCTCGGTACTTGACGAGGAAGGAAGTGTCCTGCTGCTCTTGGGCAGCCTCCGGGCTCACGTTGAGTGGGACAAGTGAGTTCTGTGCTCACTCATGGCGTCTGAAATGCTAACTGAAAACTCTGTATGTGGGTCAAATGTCACAATGTTTTGTTGTTGTTTTTTTTTTTTTTTTTAAACATTCAGGGAAACACAGAAAATCTCCAGACCTCTTATATTAAAAAAAAAAAAAAAAAAAAGTGACAGTATTCACTGTAAAGATATCAGAGAGTGACGAAATACTGGTGAGGAAATTTTAATTTTGGAACGTGTTTCAAATATTACATGTAGATAACTCATCTTCCATTCTATCAGGATCTACTCTGCCTGACCTTTCATAGTGTCAAAGACTATTCCTGAAAGTTCTGGTGTGGCCCTTGATGTTCAGAGAAGTTGAGAGGATTTTACCCTTACCTGTGCCAAGTTCTTAGGAACTTGGTTTGGCCATTGACTCTACTACCTTCCTACATCTAGACTTTTTAAGTCTAGGGAGGAGGAGAGGAGGCCATTTGTAACCTAGTCTTTGTCTAATAGTTCCCTTCTCTTCCACCCTGTCTGTCCCCAAATTCCTACCTAACTTAACTTCTTCAGTTGGGAGAGCAAAGTAATGTACATAGCTCTCACCTTGAGTAATGTAGCTTTCCAAGTGTGGAATCCAAAAGAACTAGGTAGGCAGGCAGGCACACAGATAGACAGACAGACAGACTATTCCAGACTATATTTGAGATGAGGGAGACCCTTTGAAATCTCTCCTCGCTCATTCTTAACACTGTCCTTGCTCACTCTTGGAAGTCCTGTTAGAAGCAACACTGGTTTTCAGAGTTGTGGAGCTAGCGGAGCCCTGGGCAATGGACTGGTCAGGATGGAGAACGGATTCCAGTTTTTCATTCCTCTTCTCTCATGAAGTAGAGTTCTTCACGTGTGCTTTGTCAGGGATTGGCAGCGTGGCTTCGGCAGTTTGCATGCCCTCTAAGAAAGCCTGGTCCACCTCCTCTGGATCTTCAGAGGCAGCCATTGGCAACGTAACACACACTTAGGCACCGTGCACAAGAAGTCCGATGGTGGTGCCTGGGGTGCCAGCTTTCTGAAGTCCATTGACCCTGGTCATCCTCTGTCCTTTGTTGGCCTCAGAACCCTGGAGTGCAGAGGGCAAGGTAAGACACAAGGCATTGTCATGGAAGAGCTTCCCCAGCACTTGGTCTCACCCCTGGATACCATCCGAGCACCTTTAAAACAGGGACAGCTGGAGGCAGGAAGAGAAGGAAGTAGGGAAGAAATGTAGCTGGCTAGACAACTGACTCACACTCCAGGATCTGAGAATGGGAAATTCAGATCATAAACAAGGAGTCTTAGGAGAGCATTTCATTGGCTGCCTGGAGAGAGAGATGGATGATGAAGTTGCTGATACAAAGTCTAGCTGTATGGGCGAACTGGGTAAAGAAAAGGTTGTAACCATAGGTGATGCTAAAACCTATTAATACTGCTTGTCCGGTTTCTACTTATTAATGGTGAGGAAGATTTAGGTAGCCATCTGTCCTCAGTAGGTACAGATAAGGGAGTCATAAGCAACCACAGGACTTTTTTTCAGTGGTAGGTCTCAGTAAGCAAAAACACTTTTCCAGTATATTCATAACTTATCACCAGATAGTTTACTTATTGCTTCAGTGAACATTCCTACCCTATCACTATATAATCTTGCATCATAGTAAATCCGCAGTACAACGGAAGAACCCTTTGGAACCCAAATCTGATTACACACACACACACACACACACACACACACACACACACACACACACACCATGGTCCTATAGAAGAATCTGCTTAAAGTAAGCAAGAAGAGAGAGAAACAATAAGACTCTGAAAGCTCTTGCTAAAGTAAACTGCTAAGCAAATGTGAACAGCTCCACAAAGAGATGCTTCTCAAGAAAAAAGAGGAGAAATATGCCAATATATTAAATAATCCAAACAGCTTACAGGATGCTTAGGAATTGCTGCTCTGGCTATTGGAAACAGAGAGTCATTGATAGATTTTTTTGAGCAAGCAAGCTTATAAACAACAGCAGCGCTTCAGGAGAACCCATCAGGCTTCTAGTCTGTAGGATGGGTGAGGTGGGAGGAGCTTGGACTCAGCAAAGTTGGGGGGTGTTAATTCTAACCATTGAGGAGGATGTGACTGCTACTACCCAAGAGGCCTGACCATGAAGAACCCGAAATGAGAGGCATTGTGAAGGACTCATCCTTTGGGGGCTGGACTAGCTTGGAAGGCGGAGGAGAGAGAGCAATGAGTCAGTGCTTACTTGAAGATGTCTCATCAGAGTGACTGAGCCAGTCATGGAGAGAGACGGGAAAACAGAAGGAAGGGGAGCTTGGGGACTGGGCACAGACTCCAGTGGCTCCAGAGGCCAGGCAGGTATAAATAGGCTCAAAGACAGGCCGAGGGGACTCCAAACTAGAAGGTTCATCTCTAAAGGGGGCTGCCATGTCTTAGCACCCACAGTCCTTGCTGTGTGAGAACACACTTGTCCTGTAACCAGAGCTTCTATTTCATAGGAGACAGCAGAAATCCAGATTTCTTATGAAGAAATACCTTAATTCTTTAATATTGGCTACTAATTTTTTAAAAACAGGATGTGTTCCAAACACACACACACACACACACACACACACACACACACATATACACACACACACATACACACACACACACACACACACACACACACACACACACACACACACACACACATCTGTAGGCCAGATTTGGTAGGCTGGCTATCAGGTTATGTCCAGACATAGAGACAAGGTCAGAGGTCAAAGTTCATAAACTGACATGATGATACATAAGTAACTTCGGGGGAAAATCAGTAGCTGAAATACTGCACATAATGTCTTTGGCAGCTTTATGACTGTCCCTACCCTTCAAGCCTATATATGGATTTGAATGTATGCAGGAAGTTTAATCTAATCTTCAAACTGTTAGGGCACAAGACTTTGAGTGCTCACTGTGTGCTGAGTACACAGAACTCAAGGAATTCCAACTAAGCGAAGGAAAAACATGCCCTCCTGAAAGCACATGCCTCAAGTTTTAAAACAACCTGGGAGACTGTTCTCTGCGTAATGGCAAAACGACAGAGCCCCCTCAAGTCCTGGGTTCTCTGCTCAAATCTCTCACATTTAGCACCGCTGGCATGGCGAACGTGTGTGTGTGTGTGTGTGTGTGTGTGTGTGTGTGTGTGTGTGTGTGTGTGTGTGTGTGTGTGTGTGTGTGTGAACTTGAATTTGTAGCTAGAAATATAACTTCCTGGGCCGTGGTTACAAAGCTGCACCTCTCTCGCCCGCCCGAGGGTATCCTAACCTCAGCGTGGGAGAGGAGCCGTCTGGGCTTCAGGGACCTCAGACCCTGGCTAGGAGAGATGGGAGTGGCCAACGGAAAGGCTCCGCTGGTCAGGTTTCTGCAACCCCAAGTCTTTGTTAATGTCACTAAGGGTTTGAAGGGGAGAAAGGCAGGCACTGAAATAGAAAGTGTCAGGATTGGGATGTCAAGGAGGATAACTTGGTGAGCACCCATCCCGCGCCCTCCCTGCAGAGCCCGGCACCGCCTCCTGCGCTCAGCACAGAGCCGGGCTGGCGGCAGGAAGCGGGCGGGCGGCCGCGGGTCCTCGCGAGGCCGATTTCCTCCGGAGCGGCCCTGGGCGATCGCTGGACTCGCAGACCCGCCTCGGTCGAGCACGATCTCTCCCCCTAGCCCCGCTCCGCTCAACCCACCCACTTACTTCCTTCGACTGCACACACACACACACACACACACACACACACACACACACACACACACACACACACTCAGAGCTGCCAAAAATTTCCAACCTCCGCCCCCCTCCCGAGCTGACTTCCTTCCAGCGCTTCCTGAGCTGGACGATCCTGGGATTTGTAAGACAGGAAAAAAAAGGGACGGCGCGAGGGCGGGCGACGGGACGGGATGCTGGCTGTTCCCGGTCCGCCCGCGGTCTGAAAGGCTGAGCAGGAGTGCGGGCCTAAGGGCGGAGCACACTCACAGCCCCGGGGCGGTCCTCTCGCCGCCGCGCCCCGGCCCCTGCTCCTCGCAAGGCTCAGCGGAGAAGCGCGGGGAAACGCCGCCGCGGGAGCCCGAGTAGGGAGGTGACACCCGCCCCGGGGCGGTGCACGGCCGGATCTGCGCGCCCATGCCGACCCGCGGCGCCGCTCTGCCCCGGTGACCCGACCCCGAAACCCCTCGTCAGCGGTGCGGAGCAGAGAGCGGGAGACGGAGGGGCAGCCTCTGTGGGACTAACTCATGAAGAACAAGGGTGCCAAGCAGAAGCTGAAACGAAAGGGAGCCGCCAGTGCGTTTGGATGTGACCTGACGGAGTATCTGGAAAGCTCGGGACAGGATGGTAATGTACCCCCTCCCCCGCACACACATACACACACACTTTTGTTGTTGTTGTCTAAGAGCGATGGGTTCTCTTGGGGTGTGTTGGATGCAGTTCACAAGTTAATGTGTTCCAGGCTCGTGCGCTCACTGTACTTAAAAAAAAAAAAAAGACACTGGGCTTAGGCACAACCCTGCCACCCCGACGTTCAGGAGCTATGTCTGTCCTTCCGACGTGTCATAGGAGCGGTTGATGAGGGGTGGTGTGTAGCTGTGGTGGTGACCGGCCGTGGCCATTCCTGAGGTTGAACCCCGGGAGGCTCTGATCTTAAACTCTGGATGTTGGAAGGGAAAGGTTGGGGAGGGGCGGGGGGTGACAGATGCGTGGAGCCGTCATCAGTAGGTTTTTCTGGATGTGCAACTGTAACCAGCTTACATGTCCCTCCTGTACCGTCGGAGGTTTGCTCGCCCACATCCTTTTTTATTAGTGTGGTAGGAGGCAGTGGGGGCGGGGGGGATGGGGGATCCTGGCTGGGGGAGTGGTTGCACAAACATTTTCTGTATTTCTGAGTTGATGCCAAATCTATAGTACCTCCCCCAACTCTGCGCCCCCCCTCCCCTGCAACCAGACCCTTTACCTCCTCTTTGGCTCTCAGTTTTAGCCTTTGGTGTGTCGTGCGAGAAGTTTGTTGTAAAAAGGTCAGATGGCTTTAAAATAGTTTAAGCTGTAAAGAAAAAAAAATCAAAGTTAGCTTGGAAAAAGAAAAAGAGGAGCCAGCAGAGACAATTTAAACATTGGTTGGGTGAGGCCGAAGGAAAACCATCTATGCTCCGTCCAATAACACCATCGGAGGGTGAAAGTGTGTAATAGAGGAAAGTTGGGACAATTGAACATTAAATGACTGCTTTTATAAAGTCGACTGGTTCTGCACTTAACCATGACATTAAAAAAAAAAAAAAAAAAAAGCTTCTCTCGGAGCTTCAGAGAAAAGGGTCCACTACGTGGGCCATGTGTTTATACAGAGATAGGAACAATAAAAGACAACGTAGGGCCGTGTAACTGGGCAGAGGGATTCTGCCTCCAGGAAAACTCTTCCCCTCAAACAACTGGCTTGTCCGTATCAAGCAGGCATCCCAGAAACAGTGCAGAGCTTTTGTTTGGCTTCCCCTTTTTGAAGACTCAGCACCCCTAGTAATTTGCAGCGGTGTGATATTCCTGTGGTATTCGGGAGTCCAGAGTCTGCTGTGTCATTAGGACAAATGGCTTCGTATTTCAGAGCTTGGAGGAACCATTGGTTTCCAAACCGCCTCTGAAGCTGAGGCATGACTGAAGTCAATTCACTGAATTCTCAACAACACTCCGGAGAGGTTTTGAAACACAATCACACCGACTGAGCTTTTTTTGAACTTGACAGAAGCCCAAGTACACATCTCAGCCACGGTGGCTTGAAATTAAGAATGAAATGTTTGTCTCCATTTGTTTATGCAGGGGTCCTCATGCTAACCTGTAGGTACACTGGGCATGCTCCTGGGATGCCATCTCCTGTCATGTGGGTGTTGTTCCGAGACACACACACACACACACACACACACACACACACACACACACAGAGTGAGAGCTGTATAAGGGGCCTGCTAGCCACGCCCCATTCGTATATAGTCACAGGTTAAGGAAGAACCTGAAAAGCCTCAGGCTCTGGGAGAGAACTTCAGAGGCACCCTTAGGCAGCTCCTCTTTCCCACTTGTTTTTGTATTTTGGACTTCTGTGTGCTTCATATAGGAAAGGAGGAAGGGAATTGATGTTCAGTAGAAAAAAAAACGGAGTGTGGGTACTCTGTGCTTTCCATTCTGCGAAGGAAAGAGGAAGCTCCAAGAGGAGTAGACACCCAGGGCTCATCCATCACCCAGGGTGGAGAGGCTCCAGACCTCTTTCTGGCTCCTGTGTGCAAGTCAACGTTCTCTTTTAATGATCCCCGCCCCCAAATAGAAAGCAAACAGCCCTGCCACAGATGAGCAACCTTTTCAGACTGTACATACCTGAACAGAGTTTGGTTTTGAAATGAAAGGCGGCTGGCACTCTTGGACCCCACACTGTCGATGTACGACGTGGAAATTAGCCATGAATAATAAGCAGTTTATAGAAATGAGACTAAATAGAATTTCTGCCCCAACACACCCAAATTCATTGGGTTTTTTTTTTTTTGTGTGTGTGTGTGTTATGATAGAATAGATAAATGTTTTTTTTTCTAAAGTGATATAGAGACATATATTAGTTAATAGACAAGGCCCAGATTCTGACCCAGGTGAAAAAAGGCCGAGCAAGGCACTATCCCTTTGCTCACGACCTTGGAAGAGCTTCTCAGGGTGTTGGAGGTGGTAAATCAGAGTGGTCGCCAGGAACCAGGAAGCTAGGAAGGACCTTTCAAGAGTCGTGTCATGGTCACTGAACTTTGGGGTTAAAGGGCAGGGCGCTGGACCTAGGTAGAAATGGAAGGGCGATGGGTTTCAGCTTGTGAGCACAAGAATACAGAGGAAGAACAGAGACAGCCAGCAAAGCCACAGGCTGGGGTGGAGGACAAAGCTGGTGAGTGCTGGCTGAGCATGGGCCCTCTGCATATGGGGAAGCTGCAGCTCTGAGTGAGAGCTCCAGGGAAAAAGAGAGAGGCTGAGCACAAAGGATGGCTGTTAGCTGCTTCCCTGATTCACCAAGCCTAGCCTTGCTACCTCCATTTGGACAAATCAGAGAGGGCAGGGTGGAAAAGTGACATTCTCTTTTTCGGCCTGAAGTGAGTATTACTCATGGCCGGCTATCATGCTTAATCTGTGGGAAGCTGACGAAAGCTGAGCTACCTTTTCTTAGAAAGAAAAAAACACATGCATACACATACACATAGTATGCACACAGATATGCATAGATGTCAGGTTCAGTTCCTGCAGGTAGCCACATAGATGCACAGAGATGACAGGTTCACACTCTGCTGTGACCATCCCTCGCAGCACAGAAGCCTGGTGTGACAACTCCCCACTTCCCCCCTTCAACCCCTAGTGTCATGGATCAAACCGGGGGATTCCCCAACGGTAGCCAAGTGTTCTAACCCTGAGCTACACCCCCAGCCTTTGGCCACTTCACTGTCGCCTGTTAAGAGAACCACAGCAGACCATAAGGTGGCTGCTAGGAACCTGTCACTTACTCACCAGCAGAATGACTGCTGCCCCTGTCTGAAGCTCTTCCCCTGGGAACCGGCTAATTCTCTCTTCCTATCTGGGATCACTTCCCTACTGCTGATGGAAGGAGTCTGCTTCTCTCTTCCTTCTTTTCGATCACTAAATGTGGAGGTCTTTTCTTGCAGCTATGTGATTATAAAACAACACCAGATTGTTGTTACCGATGGCATTAGGGTGTGAGTGAAACCCAGAGACCTGGAAGGTGTTCATGGTCATTTCCTAACTCTCCCTTGTGAACCAAGTATTCTGCATCTTCTAGAGGAGTTTGGGGATGGTGGGACCAGGAGTCAGGGAACAAGGAAGAGGTGCTAGGATGGAAACTGTTTCGTCCTCTGGGCTGGCCACACTTTTTGTTGTTGTTTTTTGTTTGTTTGTTTATTTGTTTTGTTTTGTTTTTCGAGACAGGGTTTCTCTGTGTAGTTTTGGTGCCTGTCCTGGATCTCACTCTGTAGCCCAGGCTGGCCTCAAACTCACAGAGATCCGCCTGGCTCTGCCTCCTGAGTGCTGGGATTAAAGGCGTGCGCCGCCGCCGCCGCCGCCGCCGCCGCCGCCGCCGCCGCCGCCGCCACCACCCGGCCTGGCTTCCTTGTCTTTCTGATCCATCATTGCTCATTTAACCTACTCCTTGGTGAAAAGCCAGACTGCTCTCAACTAGTGCCTTAATGTCACTCCAATGATGGTGACAGACTTTAACCACCTGGAAAGTCTTTTAAAAGGTTGATGCCACTGCTTATGATAGCACACACCTATAGTCCCAGGGCTTGGGAGGTTGAGGCAGGAGGATTAAGAGTTTGAGACTATCCTGGGCTACATGGCCAGATCCTCTCTTCATCTCTTAAAGAAAAAAGAAAAAAGGCAATGCAAGGGCCCATCTCAGACCAACTAAATCAGACTCTCTCCTAGATGGTTTTGGTATATGGAGAGGGTGAAGAGCCTGTACGCAGTGCATGGTTTGTAGGCCATGTTCCCTGAATAAGTAGAGTCGCCTCTGAATGTTCCATAAAATGTGTGAAAACATGTATATTAATATAAAACAAAGATGTATAGGAATAAAGTAGATTTAGTTTGAGAGGTGAGAGAAGGTTCACAACAAATTACTGACAGATGCAAATCCAATACTAAGCTTGCAGGAAGCTTGCTGGTGTTCCGAAGGATGAGGGTGAGCAGTGGGAACATCAGTCATCGCTTCTTTTCATTTCATTTCTGAAGCTAAATAGTTCCCTCACTTGGTTTATTCGTTTCCTCTATTTATTAATCCAATAAACAAAACTCTATTCCAGCCGTGTTTGGGATGCAGTGGGAAAGAAAGATGGACTCTGGATATCAGGAATGCATAGTCTCCGGGATGTGAAACAATCAACCTTCAGACACCAGTTGACTTTGAAGAGGCAGTTGTAGGAGAAAATGTGAAAACCTTGGTCTCCCATTAAATAGCAAGATACTGTACAGACATAAACAGAACAAGGTCATAACAAAGAAGGCTAATACTTTTCTGTTTACGATTTAGTGTTGAATGGGGGATGGGGCAGTATCCTCTGCAGCTTAATCTTGGTCCGGCACATCATTTGCACACCTTTCCCCAGCAAATTCCTCACCAAGTGGGTCTCGGCTATGGAAAGTTCTAGAAGCATTCCCTAACCCAAGTCAGGGGACTTGGTTGGGGGCTTCCACTAAGACTGCTGGAACTCTCCTGCCTAGAATCTCAACTTTGCTTATTCCCAAATGACTGGCCCTCGAGAGGCTTGCTTCCTGCCTCTGGGCCTCAGTTTCCCCTCTTGGGAAATAGAGATAATAGA